GGTGAACAGATGAACCGGTCTGGATGTTTCCTTTGCTTGCTCTGTTACCTTCCATTCACGTGATGGCTTTAATTAGCGTTGTATTGTGCAAACCAGGCTCTATAAAGACCAGTCAGGGACCAGAGCCCCAGCACAGTATAACCGCAGATGAAAAACATGGTCTCTGCCGCAAAGGGTTTGCAATCCACATAAATAAATCACCCCTAGCAGCAGAGTCTCTGGAAGAACCATTTCCTGAAGATTTGGTCCCCCATTTTAAGAAATCCCCGACTCCCGTGCATGTTGTAACAGGGTTTGGAAGGAGTCCCCCTGCTTTACTTCATACTGGCTTTTCCCTGGGCACCGCGTGCAAGACCCCAACTGAGGCAGCTGCCCTTCTCGTAGCCCCTAACTCACGCCCAGGCCCACGCGGACTGTCCTTCCATCCCCGGAGGAGCAGGGCCTGCAGGAAGGCCTCGAAAGCTTTCCAGCTTTAATCGAACAAGCACAAAGACGGGTACAGTCCTGGCCGAGACACCCACAGCCTGAATTCTCTGAGGGGCCCTGGGCGGCATCGGGGGGAACGAGAAAGGAACTGCCGGGCAAGGGACACGGGCAAGACAACAAGGGCAAAGGCCCCGGCAGCAGCCCGACATCACACGCCATCAGGACTCGGGCAGAGGTGCTTTCTTTTATGAGACCAATGGGATGTTTGCAAAAACACGTCTTTGCTTGCAAGCTTTCAGGCACACTCGCCCTCCTTCGGCATAGGGGAGTGCCAAGAAGTGACATTCCTCCTGGGTGGAAATGACAATCCCTATTTCACAGGACCTCGCGTGGGCCGTGGCTGGGGTCGGGCCGCAGCACCGGTGTGCAGTGTGGGGCACCCCCTTTCCGCTCCCGCACGATGAACCTGCCACCCCCCCTTTCCCTTCCTCCCAATGCGCCCGGCCTGACGCCTGGCAGGAGCCCCGGGCGGGGCGGGGCGGGGGCAGATGCGGGGATAAAGGCGGCTCGGCGGCGGCGCTGGGGGCCGGGGCCGGACATGGAGGAGGCAGCGACGGCGCAGGCGCGGAAGGTGCAGCTGAGCGTGGCCGTGATCGGGCACGTGGACTCGGGCAAGTCCACCACGGCCGGGCACCTGCTCTACCTGTGCGGCGCGCTCGACCCGCGCCAGCTCCAAAAGTTCGAGGCTGCGGCCACCCAGGTAGGGGTGGGCGG